GGATGCAGGTTAGAAACCTTGCTCCTGGCTGTGGCACAGAAGAGGACCACTCCCCACCATGCCAAGGCTTCCCTTATGCTGTGCCAGCTCCACTCTCCCAAGAGGTCTCCTCTGAGTCTAAGACACATTGAGCTTGCCATTCCTGAGACCTGAACTGAGGGGCAGGCCCTAGCTGCTCTGAGGATAGCCCAGAGGGGGCTAAAACACTTTGTCATTAGAGTGACATCCCAGGCCACAGAGCCCAGTACTGGGCCTGCTCTTTACCCCCTAAATGACTTTGGGGAAGATCCTTTCCAGCTTTAATTCTTCCCCATGTTGAATGGGCTCAGGTTGTTTGGTTTGGACTCTGGTGGCGGGGATGGGAGAATAGGGGGGCCACCGTCCTTTCTGCTGCACTGTGGAGTCCCATGGCCAGCGTCAGGTGGACAAACCCTCTGCCAGAGGTAGAATGCTCAACAGTTGCTGCCTGCAGGAACAAGGCCCCTGCTCATGGCGTTTGCCGATTTCTCTGGTGTAAACGCTCCTGCCATGACTGATTCAAACCGCTGAACGCAGAGCTAGAAAAGATGTGCAGAATCTGCTCTCATGGAGCCAGTAGCGGTTGGCTGCAGCGCACAGCTGTCTTCATGTCGAGCACCATGACAGCCCAGCCAGAGGAAGAATCTACGTCAAGGTCAGGCCAGAGGCACAGGCTTGAGGGCCCAGAGTGGGGTCTGAGCCAGAGGTGAGGCCGTACACGACAGCAATGAATCTGGGTGTGAGGCCCTGGGGAGATGAAACGTGGACTTGGACGCGTGACGTGTGAGGAGGTCCAGGGCTGGCCGGCGGCTCAGGACAGAACCACACGGTGCAGGTGGAAGAATCTACGTCAAGGTCAGGCCAGAGGCACAGGCTTGAGGGCCCAGAGTGGGGTCTGAGCCAGAGGTGAGGCCGTACACGACAGCAATGAATCTGGGTGTGAGGCCCTGGGGAGATGAAACGTGGACTTGGACGCGTGACGTGTGAGGAGGTCCAGGGCTGGCCGGCGGCTCAGGACAGAACCACACGGTGCAGGTGATGTGCCAGATATTGAGCCAGTAGCGGTCGGCTGCAGCGCACAGCTGTGTTCATCTCGAGCACCATGACAGCCCAGCCAGAGGAAGAATCTACGTCAAGGTCAGGCAAGAGGCACGAGGCTTGAGGGCCCAGAGTGGGGTCTGAGCCAGAGGTGAGGCCATACACGACAGAAATGAATCTGGGTGTGAGGCCCTGGGGAGATGAAAAGTGGACTTGGAAGCGTGACGTGTGAGGAGGTCCAGGGCTGGCCGGCGGCTCAGGACAGAACCACACGGTGCAGGTGATGTGCCAGCACGTCTGGAATACGAGATTGCCTCCTACTGTCCAAGCTGTGGAAGGAGAGGAGGCAGACGTGACGACGAGGCTGCTGGTCAGACGGACAGGTGTTCCCTGAGTAGCGGGATGACGTGTGAGCAGGCCCAGCCAGGGAAGGGCAAACCCAATCTCTGTAATTGTTAGTGCATCAATTCTGGTGACAGTCCCACGGGGATGATGCCAAGGGCCCGGGGAGGGGGATGCCCTGGCTGACATCATCTGCTATTTCTGGGCCTATTCACAGCCTCCTCCAGTGGGAACTTCCTTTCAGGAGACAAATCATTCAGTCTTCTCACAACTACCTCATCCTCCTGAAAAACAGAGGGAATCTGAGTTCATAGAGCCAGGTGAGGTGTGTATGTCCTCTGGAGATGGGACAGGAGTGGAGAGAAGCACGTGAACCTTGAAGTCTCTTGGGCCAGGGTTCAAATCTTACCTCTTCCCCTTATTAGCTGAAGGGCTGTGGGGATGTCATTTTACTTTTCTGACTTTCCGTTCCCTCAAGTGGGCAAATAATATACACTCATTTCTCTTTTGCCCCCCCACCCCCATCTAAAGAATATGCTCTCAATGGCCAGTCTGTGGTAGTTTCCAGAAGGAGATGTAGACCCCCTTCTGGCTCCTTCCCTGGCTCTATGATGAGGGCCTCATAAGGCTGGGGATGTAGGGGCCAGTTGAGGGGAACAAGGAGAGGATGGAAGGAGATGCAGGCTCTTCAGTGGGGTGGGGAAACTGGCTGTGTGGGTGTGGTCAAGGCTCAGAGCCTCCTAGGAACTCATGCCCCATGAAGGGCTTAGAGGCCATTAGGCAGACTGGGTCTTCAGAGGTACAAGCCTGCCTATCTGGCTGGCTTCTTTCTTGCCTAAGGCCTGGCTCTGTCTGTCTGTCCCAAGTGTCTGCCCATCTGTCCTAATGGGACACTCCACATGTCTTTTTGTCTCATTGGGTTTATTGGTATATTTTAGGTATACAGTACAGTTACATTCATCACTGGGATCTTGTACCTTTACATGACAGGTCTTGGTTCTCATTTTTTCCTCTTGTCCCTGCCCTCCCTTCACCCCCTCCTCTCCTCCCCATTTACAAACACCTTTTTTCCAGTTTTCATTTTCTCGTGTTTTTTCTTTTCCCTTATTACCCTCCCCCTATCCTTCCACCCCATAAGTCTTGATCCCTCCCTGCTGCCTGCATTTTTGCTGAAGCCTGCCTGATATCCTGTCCGTCTGTCAGTCTGCTGTGATCTGGCTTCTCATTGCTCTGACTGCAGCTGATTTTCTTGCACCTGGGCTCCATCTTATGATGTGTGAGTGACAGAGAAGTGACAAATGAGAATGAGAGAGTGACAGACAGGAGAACACATACAGGGGGACGGAACACGTGAGCACACAGAGGGCTGGCAGCTGGGTTGTCCCCTTTGAGACAGGGTCACTCCAGGTCTCCCCGACCTCAAGGGAGTGCCTGGGCACCATCCCTGCCACAATGAAGTGCTCCCTGTCTGCATTCCTGACCACAGACAGGAGTGTCCCTGTGGAGGCTTTGCGGGGAGGGGAAGAGTGGAGGAGGGACAGTACCCATGGCAACCAATGGAGAGGTACATTTTCCATTCAGGAAGAACCTTTGTAACAATGGAGCTGTCCAACAAACAAAATGGGCTGTTAGTAAGGTAGTGATCTCCCTGTCACCGAAGTCATTCAATTATGGGCTGGCCACCCACTTGTCAGGGTTGCCAAGGGGAGTCAAACTGGAGAGGTCAAGTGGAGCAGACATTTATGTGATGTCCTTTGTAGGTAACCCAGGTAAAAATTTTGCACACTGCCTGGCACATAGGAGATGCTCCCAAACAGAGCCATTATTAGGAATCAGTGACCCTCTGGCCTGTCCGTGGCCTATGTGCTGGGGAGAGAGGAAAGGCCAATTTATGGCAACAGGTTATGAATAATCAGGAGCAGGGAACATGGGGTAACAAAGGGCTTCCCAGAATAGGAATGTCTCCATTCTCCCTCACCCTGATTTGCATGGCTCCCGCAGGCTGCCCTCCCCTCTCCTAACTCAATTTCAATTTCAATTTCAATGTCAATAACTTCCCTGGCACGACAAGCAGCCAGGGGTTGCCAAAGTGAATTGGAACATGGAGTTTCAGAGTCTCAGACCAGCTTGTCTAGCCAGTGCTGGCCCGCCTTGGCCTGCCAGGCCCTTCTGACCACACATCTCTCATCCTCTGTGGCCTTTGGAGAGGTTTATTTTTACCCCCGCCCCCGGCTGTCCATAGGTTATTTGAAAAAGATACACTCTCTCCTTTGATCAAGATGTTCTAATAACAACAGCATGTGGGATGCCAGCCACCTGCTCAGTGACCCTGCACATGTCACACTGGGGATGTAAAGTTGCAGGAGGCTTAGCCCCAGCTCTGGAGATCCCAGCCAAGTGGAGGAGACAGACAAACATCAACAATTCTAATAATGTGGCGAGTGATTTGCTGGCCAAAGCTGGGGGCTCTGGGAGCACAGAAGGCAGCCCTGAGCTGGGGAGGGGCAAGGCAGCTTCCTTGAAGAGGCAGAATGGGGGGAACTTATCAAGCTTCCTTGGATGGCAGCCACCCAGTTTCTTCCCTGGGCCATCCCCTTCCGCAAGCTACAGCAGCAGTTGGCCCCACACTGTTGGCCACAATCAGATCCTTTGCAAAGTGTAGGCTTGGCCGGAGGGAGATGGGGAGGTGGGTGTGGGGTGCTGTGGCTGTGGCCCATCAGGAAGCACCCGTGTGGTCTCAGGGAAGAGGCTCTGGAGGGGCAGGGAGGGTGTTGGAAGCAAGGAGGCCCAAGGGACCGCTCTATGTGCTCAGGCTTGAGACTGGGATGCTGAGGTGGGAGCAGCCCTGCATGCAGAGGTGAATGGGCAATGGGGTGATGCTGGTTTTTGCCAACTTCGCATCCCTGCCCAGTGTCAACTGCAGGTCACTTCTTGTCGCCACCATGGGGAGCCACAGTTCAGGGAGTCAGACAGAAAGGGGTTGAAACTGCTTTGTCAGGAAGCCCTCAGAAACTGGACCTCAGCCCTCCTCCTCCTTCTCCTGCTTTCTTCTTCCTCCTCTGTCTTCTTCTTCTCTGTCTCTCTCTCTTCCTCTTATTCCTTCTCCTTTTCCTCTTCTTCCTCCTCCTCTGCCAACCAGCTATCTACCAAGAATGCTGATCGAAACCAACCAGCCACAGCTCCCTCTGCCACCATGAATACGGCTGTGGACAGTTTTTCTAGGGTGGAGAGGGACTGAGATCTGGCTTGAGGCTAGCCAGGTGTTGGAAGCAAGGAGGCCCAAGGGACCGCTCTATGTGCTCAGGCTTGAGACTGGGATGCTGAGGTGGGAGCAGCCCTGCATGCAGAGGTGAATGGGCAATGGGGTGATGCTGGGTTTTGCCAACTTCGCATCCCTGCCCAGTGTCAACTGGAGGTCACTTCTTGTCGCCACCATGGGGAGCCACAGTTCAGGGAGTCAGACAGAACGGGGTTGAAACTGCATTGTCAGGAAGCCCTCAGAAACTGGACCTCAGCCCTCCTCCTCCTTCTCCTGCTTTTCTTCTTCCTCCTCTTCCTTCTCTGTCTCTCTCTCTTCCTCTTATTCCTTCTCCTTTTCCTCTTCTTCCTCCTCCTCTGCCAACCAGCTATCTACCAAGAATGCTGATCGAAACCAACCAGCCACAGCTCCCTCTGCCACCATGAATACGGCTGTGGACAGTTTTTCTAGGGTGGAGAGGGACTGAGATCTGGCTTGAGGCTAGCCAGGGAGCCCTGGGGACTGGAGATCAAGAACTCTGAGCAAGATGCACAAATACTCAGGGGCCTGAAGGACTGCTTTTGGGCCTGAGGCTTGTGACAAGAAGACACCAAGTTGGTTCCTGGAGATTCCCAGCCTTTGGGACTGGCAGTCTTTGCAGAGACCTCATCCTGCTGGCTTCTCCTGGTCCCTCTCTTCGCACAGCTTCAGGGACAGATGAGGCTTTAGGTTGGAGGGGATGCAGGAGGGGAACCAGGGTGGAACGAACACCCTGGGAAAGTGCTTCCCATTTAGACTGGGTGCCTTTAGACCATTTCTTTCCCTTTTCAGCTCCTCATTCCACTTTCATTTTCAGTAAGATGGCAGCAGTAGGCCAGATGGGGGCTTTATGAAGAGGGTTCCCAAGAAGGCCATGCTGGCAAGCTGTCTCAGGGAGCAGCAGTTGGGGAGAACTCACTCTCTTCCCTAAGGCTCTGAATCTTTCCACTTCCACACACAGACACTTGATGAGCTTTGTCTGATCAGGTATTTCTCAAGTTTCCCTGATGAACCCATTTTCTCAAGCTGCTCGTTTCCATCTGATGGAAGGAGCCAACATTGTTTGGAAGCATTATACTGAATGCTCTTCTCCAAGATTCCCTCCCACCCTAAGAGTCTAGATGTCTTTTTCTCTGAAGAGGAGCATGGGAAGAGGAGAGAATCGTCATCTTGAAGCACTTCCTTTGTGCCCAGCTCTGTGCCCTCCCTCTGACCCTCATGGATCCACGGCAGCGTCGGCTTGATTCTCCTGCTGGCAGATGAGCACAGTGAGTTCTGGAGTGGCTCAGGGGACAGGGGCAGTTTGCTGTCGGCCTGAGTAGGCAGAAGGGGAAGACCTGGTTGGAAGGGTTGGCCGGGGAGCTGCAGCTCTTCCCGGTAGTCCCAAGCCTCCCTAGTATTCATTGTCCCTACCGAGGATCACCTGTTTCTTGGGAGAGGAATTTGGAGAGATGATAGGGTAAAGACCGGGGAAGCTAAGGGCTGAGGGAAATAACTTACTAATAACCTAATGGCCGCTCCTAAGAGTTCAGGTTCATAGAGGGCTGGTGCAAGTAAGCACCTGGAAATATGGGGCTGTGTAGCATGGTGGAAAGAACAAATCTGCTCACCAAGAGACTCTTTTTACTTACCTTCTTATCTGATGGGCCCAATCAATTGACCCTTGTCCTCCCTCTGTCAGAGGAACACACTACACCCTTGGCCTGGGAACGCTGGGTGACCAGATGGTCCTTTTTCCTTTCCCCATATTGTGTGTGTCACAGTGTTCATGTTCCCAAACCTGTTCATGTCCGATGCATTTGTCACTGCAAATAGGTAATTTAATTGAATATAACATACGCCAATTAAACGAGTGCAGAAAAGTTATGTTTCTATGGTAATTAATTTATTCTTTGGGAAGACTGCTAAAACTTCTTGTAGAATTAGATGTGGGCAAGACTAGAAAAGATCTAAAGAAAAAGAAACCCTCTATAGCAAGTCTGTGTGCATCGATTGCTTTACGAGGAATCAAAACCTGAAATCTCTTAGGTGATAGCTCACATGAAAAGGACAACTCGATCTTCGCTAATGCGATCTTAGGAAACCTGTTCACCTTTCTGCACTTCATTTTTCTTGACTGTAAAGTGAATAAAATCATTCCTAGCTTTCAGAGTTGCTGCGAGGAGCAAACACAGCTTTGAGCAGCCCGTTCCTCTCCATTCTGTTCTCCTTTCTCTCTCTCTTCTGACATGCATGGATCGACAGACAGCTCAGGGTCCCTGGGGCTTTGCCCACAGGGGAGCAGCCGGGCTACTCTGGCTGTGATTGGGGCTTAAGGCCCCAACCCTCCGGAAGAGGGACACCTTCAAAGGGGGGAAGAGCCTTCCCTAAGTAGTAGAATGAGATTCTGGCGGTGTGACAGAGCAGCAGGTGACAGTACCTCCTTGGCATTTAAGTCACAGCTCCTATGAGTGGCCTGAGGTGGTGAGGGTGTGGTCTTTCTTTTGCTCTTTCCTCCTTCCCGCGTCTCTCCCTCTTTCTCTTCTCCTCCTCTTCTGCCTATCCCTCTTACTCACTCCTTTTTCCCCCTTTAGTTTTTGGTGATTTCAAGGGGTCAAACCCAGAGGCGCTCTACCACTGAACTATATCCCCAGACCTTTATATTTTTAATTTTGTGAGACAGGGTCTTGCTAAGTTTCCCAGACTGGCCTCAAACTCTCACAATCCTCCTGCCTCAGCTTTCTGAGTAGCTAGGATTACAGATATGTACTACCTCACCCAGTATGTTGACTTTTAAAATCAAAATGTATCTTGACCATTACGTCCTTGAAGTGACACCTCTGCTTTCCTTAACCTATCTACCTGGGGTTCTACTCCACCGCAGACTCCAGAGAAATCTTACCCCATCTCAGAAGGGTTTGGTCGCCCTCAGCCATGCTGCTGAACCCAGTGTCAGGGAGAGGCATGGCTTGCCTGCATCAGCTGGCTCTGCCAGCCTTCTTGGGAAGAACCATTCTGCCCATGGTGGGGTCACCTCCTCGCTGCCTGTCCAGATCTCTCCAAGAATTTGTCACTGGGTCCCACATGTGCTCAGGGAGACCCCAGAAGGTTCAGCATGCATGTCCCTTTCTTCTGAAGTTTCACCCTTGCCGTCACCTCTGCTTACCTTCTGACACCTCAGGCTCACCATTCCCTAAACCAGCTGAATGAGTCCTGCTGGAACCCCAGGTTGGAGGGCCACTCTTACATCACTTCTGCTGCTAGGAAGCCTGCACCATACGTGGCCCAGCAGAGGTCCCCAGGAGAGTGGAGGCATGTGGAGGTGGAGCAGGGCTGGATGGAGGGAGAAAGGACATGAAGCAGCAAAGCACCTTCACTTTTCGCCACTGGTTCTGTACCATGGAAGGAGAGGGCAGACCAGGGCTCCAGGACTAGTGTGAAATCCTGGGGTGTTCTCACGGGTCCCTCTTGTTTCTCCGCCACTAAAGTGGAAAAGGTGAATGAAGGGTGCCTCATCTGTTTGTAGAGACTAGTGTCAATACCGTATTTTCTGAAAAGACATTTTTCCCTCCACATGACCTGCTCTCGTCCAAAAAGCTAGATTAACACTGGGAGTAAACTGGGCTAAGAGTCAAAGCCAAATTTTTTCTTCTGCTTTGGGTGACCAAGTCAGAAGATCAGTCTTCCTGGCTTCCGACTTACTGATCTGGATTGATTTTTCTTCCACTTGGTACAACCAAAGCCCAAAGAGCAAACAGCTAGTTCAAGGCAACACAATAGCTCAAGGTCAGGGTGGGACTGTCTTCTAAAGTCCCGAGTCCTCAGGCAAAGGGCTGGAGAATTACCTTCTTGCTTCCTCCAGCTCCCCCAGTAGGGCTGAGCTGCCTGGGACCCACACAGGACGGCCTAGTGTCACTGCTGGAGGAACATCCGGCCCCTTCCTCCTAGGCAGCTGTCCGAGTCCTGACTGCAACTTGGACAGGTAGGACTATTCTCTTCCTATCAGCCCCAGGGCTGCTCCCCAGTGTGTTTCTCAGGAAATAACCCTCCCAGCCTCACTACAGAGGAGAGGAGGACAGAATGGGAGGTGGGACAGGGCAGGTGGAGGCCAGATCCAGAGTGACCTGGAGATACCGAAACACATCGACTCACGCCTTCTGTTTAGCTTTGTGCACCAGAATGGTGTTGAAATACTGCAGGTCTTCCACCCCTGCTGCTAAAGAAAGACTTCCCAGAGTTCTGGAAACAGTACCTGCTGCCTAGGATCCCTTCTTTCAGCTCCTGCGTCAGGGCCCTGCTCTAACACTGGTTGTTAAATAATTTGACTACCACACCCATCATAAATGCCAGAAAACATCACTGTTGAAAACTGTGGGGGTGAAATAGGATGCATTTATCTGTGAAATGTCATTCATTCATTTACTCACTGAGCAAATGTTTACTGAGCACGAGCACCTAGTATTTGCTGGGGAAAGGGCAAAGAATGGGGGTCCAGAGCTGGCCAATATATGGCCCCTGCTCCGTCCTGCAGAAAGAGGGGAGGGAGAGGCACAGCTGAAAACAGTGACTACCAGGAAGAGGAAACCTGGTGACACCTCGGCTGGGAGCAACAGGATAGGAGGCGGCTAAGCCCTGAGAAAGACCTCAGAGGCCAGGTTGGAGCCGTCAAGTTTCTGCAGTTCTGTCGAAGCACATTAATGACTCACAATGAATAATTAGGAAGGGGACTGAGGACAAGGATGCTTAATTACCCAGCAGGTGAGGGAGGAAACACTGAATATTATTTTGGGGAGGGTCCCGCGAGGAGGAGGCAGGGGCTTTAGGCCAGGCCTACTCACTTGGCAGCTCCAGCGCCCCTGCTGGAGTCCCCAAGGGTTGGGTCAGGCCACCTCACCTGGGTACCCCAGGGAAGGGAAGTGGAGCTCAGCATTTGGGGTGGGGGCACGTTTAGGACAGCGGGGGCTAAAGTGGGAGGGGGAGAGGTATTCGGGGACTGACAGGTGGGTGAAAACAGAGCTAGTTCATTCTGGGTAAGGGTATGGAGGTCACTTTGCGTCCCCTGAGAGAGTAGGTGACTCCAGAGCAGGGCTCAGGTCTGTGGCACTTGTCTTCAGGAAACCATGGCTCCAGCCCTGAACTGTGGCTGTAAACCAGGCCCTGTTGCCCCTTGTCCTTCACCAGCTCCCCAGCAGCCTGGTCCAGCCTTCCTCTGGTCTCCTGGGATAAGAGGGCCCCTAGCAGCCATGCTAACAGTGATCTAACCAGTTTCTCCACTCAGTTACAAAGACTCCCAGGTCCAGTGTGAATCCCAGTGTCCTTTCATTTAATTCTCCAGGAGTCCTGTGGAGAACAAACTGGGAATTCCTATCCCATTAGATCTAAGACAAAAAGAAGAGGTCAGAGAGGTGGCTTAGTTTGCCCAAGGGCAGGGTCCCAGAAGTAAGACTTGAACCCAGATCTGGTGGCTTTTATCCAAAGAACTCTGAAATAGTTTGATGCCCATTTGCCCTTCAGACCTGCAGGCAAGGACAACTAGCCAGTGGCTCCCAACAAACAAGCTGAGCCACGTTCCTTGATGCCAGGATGGGGGTTTCCTCCAGTCTCACTGACACTGACAACCGAGGGGGCTTCTTCCTCGCCGAGGCTGATGTTACCAGGTATATTTTACACTGTTGGTGATGTCTTGCAGTCCTCAGAGAGAGGCCTGGTATGGGACAGGATACTCAGATGACTCTCATCTCATGATTTGAGCTGCTGTGTGTCTGAGTAGCCCACAAAGATTGTCAGCCTTGCGTGTATGACTCCCACAACTGCCTTCCCACACTCCCATCTCCCTCGCTCACACTATGGGGGTCACTCAACATTTGCTGATTGACCAGATAACATGGGGATGTGGGTGGGAGGAGGACAAGGGCAGATGTGAGGCAGAAGGTCCCTTTGCCAAGGGTGAGCTAGGTTGCAGTGGAAGAGCATGTTCTTGCTTCTGGGTCAGGTTTACTTCCTGCCAGGGTGACTTTCTGACAGAAACATGGGTTTACATATATTTAATACATTGTCCTGGGGAAGGAATGGAAGTTTGCTGCATGCCTACTATGTGCTGAGTATTTTGCTGATGATGCCTCATTCAATACTCACAACTATTCCACAGGTGGATATTTCCAGTTTGAACAGGCATAGGAAAGAAAGGCGAATTGTCTGAGGTCACCTATTCAGTAGGACAGCCGGGATTTGAAGAAAGGGTAACTCTTGGTTTTAAAGTAAATGTTCTCACCTCTACTCAATAGAAGCT